TGTGAATATTATAAATTGTCATATTTACAAAATATATTTTTTCCATTTCATATTATCTACACTTTCAACAACAAAACAAATCTTTTATCGAATTGTCGAACAAAAAAATAGTTAAAGACAAAAGGAGATGTCATATTGTAAGTTTCATTTTTCTAATATAATAATGTGTACTAGGTGATCGTCCCGCACCGTGTGCGGATATAAAATATTTTAGAAATAAGTTAAATTTTGTAATTAAAATACATAATTTTATCATTTATAATATAAAATATTTTAGAAAGAAGTTAATTTTTGTATTTAAAATACATAATTTTATCATTTATAAATTTTAAATATGAAGAATTGTTAGTTTCAAAATTCTATGCATGTAAAAAATTAACATGCATATATATAATAATTTTAAGTATTATTTGAATTATAGACCTTTTCGTTTATAATTTTTGTATTTGTGTTAAATTAAAATGTAAACTATGAATAAAATTATGTCAAAATTTATAATTAGTTAAAAAATAATTTAATGAAGAATTTGTAAACTTCATTTTTTTCCTTTATATAAATTCATTTAATTGTAATAGTTATTTACGTTTATTTTGTTTCTTCTTTTCGGCAATTCATTATTTTCTTTTCTCGATCTTTGTTTTTTTTAATCTCTTTCCTTTTTTCGTCTTTTATTTCTTTATTTTCTCTAACTTTTGTTTTGTACTCGTCTTTATTTTCTTTTTCTTTTTCTTCCAATGTTTTTTTTATTATTTTTTGCTATTTTTTTCATCGTNTTTCTCTTTTTCTTCGGATTCTTTTTTCTTCTTTTAGTTTCTTAGATAATAGAATCTTCAAGTCTTTTACAAATCTAATTACCGAAAATATATATTATTTTATATAGAACTTTTGCATAGACCGAAAAAACAAAAAAAATTTAAAAACTCACTTGAGAACTTCAGTTTTAATTAAAAAAAAATATGCCTCTATAGAAACCACCATTTGTCCATTTCAATAGATGTGGAGGGGTTATTTGAATCTTTTGAAGCAAAATGGAGTTTTGCGTTTTCTAGAAATTTAAGTTTTAGATATTCAATAGTTTAATCGGTATAAAATTGAAAATTTTGGAGACTATTATTGGATTGACGGTATTTTAG